AAATAAATAAATAAATGAATAAATAAATAAATATGTCATGATATTTGTTATCTTGAGGCTGTCGTATGTATAATGTAAGATGTAATAGGTGAGTAGTCATGACAAACTGTAATCCTAGTATACTCCTAATATTTAAGACCAGGATTTTTGATAGAGAATAAAGGAGATGTAGTATATGTATGAAAAGTTAAAGTTTTTAAAGAAACATTTTTAACTTGAATTAGGAATATTAAATGTGAATTCCAGATTGTAGGCTTGAAATACGAATTTCTGTAAAAGAACCCAGGGATTCCTGGAAAACTAGTCAACTCCAAGTGTGGGATTGGAGATGTTCAAGAGGAGCCTGGCACATCTTCCAGTCCCAGGGAGGAAGCTGTCACAGAAGGCGAGGGTAATGCCAGAAGGACTAGGAGCCATCAAGAAGACATCTCACTGCCCAATGAGGAGGTGATTGCACCTTCCAAAGGATAATTTTAGTTGACTGAAACCCATCAAGCAGTGGGTTACTGCTGGATGGAGACAGAACAGTTTATGTTAGAAGGGAGAAATCCTATATTCAGTAAATACAAAAAACTGTTTTCCTTTTGGCTAACTAGCTTTCATTTATCCACATAATATCTCTTTCTTCTTAGGGACTGTATTGTGAGGTGCTCCCATAGATCTCTCCAGTCTGTAGTGTTAGTCTCTATAGAAGTATTTTGTGATGTATGGAGATTGGCCATTTCCTTCGAAATCCTGGACTCTTAGAAGTCCTGGTCAAGAAAAGACTAGGGTTAAGGGAGCTATTTCCAGGTGACCAGCTTACCTGGACATCTTATATTAAAGCTCACCATTCCCAAGTAAAGGTGAGTCATTAAGGGATCTGGGGTGGGAGAGATGGCTAGGTAGAATAAGTGCTTGCATGGCAAGCACAAGGTCTTGAGTTCAATCCCCAGTTCTGCAAAAAAAAAAAAAAAAAAAAAAAAAAGGAATCTGCTAAGAGTGTTCCTTTAGCCTCCCTGTTGAGAAGTCTTGCTGTTTGGAAACTAGTGTGGGAGCCTGTGTGTCTCCTATTTCTGTGGAGGCGGTAACAACCCCACTGGGGATACCCTTGTTTCCTGGAAGGAAGCTGAGGCATCTCTCCAGAGTGTGCATGTGTGTGTGTGGTGGGGGGCTCTGGGTGCCCATGGTCCCAAGAGCTGGCCTTGCCCCTCGAGTTCCTGCCTCCATCCCTACCGCTCCCTTGGATTGCTTGTGCCTCTGGGGAAGGATTGCTGTTAGCAATCTTTTAATGTGAGTTGGGCTTTGTAGTAAAATGGCATGAAGCTTATAATCTGGTGATTTTGTTTTTTAATTCAAATATTTTGTGTTGTTATAATCTCTCAGTGGACAGTGCATCCTTTTAATTCAGAGTGAAGAGGATAAAAAGGGCAGTCGCACGAAAATCCCCACGTGTCTAGGCCCAGCCAGTCTATTTCCATTGTGGTGACCTCTGCTGTTGTATGTTTTGAACAGAATACATGCATTTTCTGATTTAGTAACTGAGCGGCAATCTGGATATTTGAAACTTGGACTATCCAAAAAAGCAGGAAGTGTAAAGTCATCATTTTAACAAATTTTGGAAATTCAGTAGCAAACCCTAGAGCTGATGGCAGGATGGAAAGGCAGTTTTCTCATTTTCATATTAGCAGATCTTTGATTCTTTTCCTAAATGACATTACAAACATCCTGCCGGATCTCCCGGGTAGGGAGTTAACTTGAACTGCAGGAGAGATTTCCAAGGCCCTGTGAGCCTTCAGCTCAGATCTCCTGTTTTGACAAGGTCTTTCTGTTCTCCCGTATGGCATGATTAATCCAAATATGAGGAATACTTGGCTAACAATCTCCATGATCTGGCATGAGAAATGCTAGTCTGTTTGCACTGCCCAGGACATAGCTCTGGACCCTGCAGCCTGAGTCAGATCCTGTATCCCAAGCCTCTAGGCCTTTAGGCTTTCTGATCACTTGAGACTGAGAGCATGTGGGCTAGATCTAGGATGTGGTAATGTCAGATGCCCTTTTATGTTGGGGAGACCTGCAGGTAGAAGAACTCAGATTCCTTTCAAGGGCGTCCTCATACCTGGTGGTATCTTCTCTCTGTCTTTTAAGCTTCTATTAGTGTTTCACCCCGTGCCCATGAGGAGCAGTGACCCTGGAAGGGGACAATGAAGCTCTCTCCTGAAGCCAGCTGCCTTCTACCTTCAGTTCTGGGGTAGTTGGCCTTGGCCTGTAGTCTGTGATTCTCAGCAAACTAGAAATCTTGGGCCATCTTTTAATTGTGCCAAGAGCTGACCACCATTGTGCACTTAAGCTTGGATTGTAGTTGCAGGTGACATGTTCTAAGTATTGACATTTTCCTCCAGTGTATTTTTGACATTAGGCTTTCTGCCGACTCAGAGTAACAGCCCCCTTTCAGCTTTATCTAGAGCAATATCAGTGCTTGGATGGTCAACCAAATCAATAATCCCTTGTTTTCTAGCACCGGTAGTGGTCAGGAACCCTAAATTCATATTCTCTTTAATATGTAAAGTTTATTTTCCTATAAGATGGATTCGTCACCATTTTCTAGATGTGTCCTTTAAGAGTGGGAGAAGTTAAGTCACGTGTCAGAGAATGTTGCTGTTAAATGATAACCAGAGATACTATTTATTACTCCAAACTTAAATTTATGATTAAACTTATTTAAGGTTACAGAGTCTCAGTTTGTTTCACGATGTTGGATTATCCCAAATGGCCTTGTGTTCAGTGCACATAGCCTTATTACATTAATAGGCATCTGAAAGCTCTTAACCTTCATTTTCCTGGCCTGTTGTCGAGGCCTTTGTAACTGATATCTGGTATCCCATGTGACCTGTAGAGGTAGGTGGGTCATGTGAAGTCACATCAGTCCATGGTTGGCCAGGAGCTTGTCAGCACTGATGCTTCTCTTGCTGTCCCTAGAGGAGCTTCTGACTCTTCAAAGTTGGCTGTGGTAAAGGACAAGTTCTTTCATTTCCAATCTGTGGAGCACTGGTACTTAACCAAATACAAGAGAAATGTTGTGGCTATATCAAATTGCTATAAAGGTTTCCCAGTGCTTGCTCTCAGCTTCTGTACTGATCTCATTGTGGGCTGTTAGCATAAACAGTGTGTGGTCCAAGATTGGTCTCTGGATGCGTCTTGAGTAGCACTCTACTGTATAATTTAGGAAAGGCATAGACTTCAGAAGAAAACTATAATTTCCATAAGCCACAATTTTAAAATAATTTTAAGTTTAGAGTAATAGTGACTCTGGTTAGCATTCTAATTTTTAATATTATATCTATAACTTTTTAAAACTACAAAAGTAATTCATACTTGAAACACCCAAATAGTACAAGAATTTCCAAACTAAAAATGTTCCCCTTACTTCAAGCCCCACCCTCCAAATAACTATTATCAATTCTTAAGTTGAAATTGCATCTAACATTCAAGAAAGAAGGGTGTGGATCAAGATTTATGAAAAGAAAAAAGGGTGGGAAAGATACCAGGAATTCATCCCTGTCTCACCAGTTATAAAACTCAGAATAGATTAAGGACAAATGTAAGACCTGAAACTCTGAAACTATGAGAAGAAAACACAGGGGAAATGCTTCAAGACATTGGAATGGTAGTAAGGATTACTTTTTGTTTTCATGACCCTGAAAACAAAAATAGACAAAGGGGATTGTATCAACTAAAAGCTTCTGCACAGCAAAAGAAACAGTCAACCACATGAGGCAACCTGTAGAACAGGAGAAAATACAACTACACACCTAACAAGGGGTTAATATCCAGAACATGTAAAGAACTCCAGAAACAAACAACGGCAATGCCAAAAAGCAAAAAAAAATTGCTCAGCTACTAAAATGGACAATAGACCTAAACAGACATTTCCCAGAAGAAGCCATACAAATGGCCAACAGCTACATTAAAAAAAAAAGTTCAATATCACTAATCATCAGGGGTGTGCATATCAAACTATGAAATTATCTTGCTCCAGGAGGAATGGCTATCACTAAAAAAATTGAGGACAGTGAATCCTCACCAGTTCACACAAGGATGTGTACAAATGGGGAGCCCTGTGTGCTACAGATTGGTACAGCTCTCTTATAGAATAGCATGGAAGTTCCTCAAAACATAAAATGGAACTATCATAGGTTTAAGCAAGCCTGCTACTATGTAGACATCTGAAGGAGCAGAACTCTGCACCTTCATGCTCACAGTATCCAAGACATGGAAAGAACTTAGGAATCCATCAACTGATGGTGGGGAAAGGAGATGTGATCCATACACACAGTGGACTAAGATTTGCCCATAAACAAGAAGGAAGTCCTGTCACGGTCAACAACACGGATGGAACTGAAGCTCATTAGGCTAAGAGAAATAAGCCAGGCGTAGAAAGACTACTACCACTTTGTCACACTCAGATGTGAGATACAGAAGGTTGATCTTGCAGAAGTTGAGAGTAGAATGGTGGTTACCTGAGGCTGGGGAAAGCTGTAGGGGATGTAGAGGGATGGGGAAAGGTCAATCAGCGTATGCTGCTATAAATTTGCATAAAACAGTTCTAGGGTGCTGTTGCACAGTGGGTGGTAATAATTATGTACTGTATATCTCAAAAAACAAAGGATTTTGAAGGATTTTACCATAAAGAAATGATAGATGTTTGAGAAGCGGGGTATGTTTCAGGTTAAACACCTGTCTTCTCAAAGATTAAAATGTGTTAAATATTATACAATGTATACATGTATGAAACTGTTACATGGTACTCCATAAACATGTAAGTGTTTTAATGTATTAGTTAAAAATTAATTTAAATTTAGTAAGAAATATATCCAGTTTTTTTTACTCTATTTAAAAAAATTTTTTTACAGGGGAAAGTGCAGCTTTTATGAATGTGTATCATTCTGCGTAGATCTGAAGCACGATGACAGCTCTCTCTGATGTCCAGGATTTTCTAACTTCATCTCTTTTTATTGCAGAGCCAGATCACACTAATGGATATTCCTGTGTTTAAAGCCATCCAACCGGAGGTCTGTACTTTCTCCTTTTTATCCTTCTACTAAAGCTGTGGCTGGGAAGAGAGGGTCTAGCAGCCACTGTTATAGTAACTCAGTTTCTTGGTTTTTCTCTTGAAGTCTTTGTAACTGCACAGTATTGATTTGTTCCATTGATTTGGTGCCCATTCTTTGAACTAGGTGCTTTTTTTTAGTTTTTTAGTTTTATGTATTTGGTACAGGGTCTCACTACATAACTTGGACTCATACTGTTCCTCCTGTTTTCAGCCTCCCCAGCACTGGGATTACAGGCATGGGCCACCATATCCAGTCTCAGTGGCCAGCTCAGCATGCCCAGGGTGGGGCTGGCATGGCAGGTGGTGCCAGGGATTGAACCTGGGTCCTTGTACTTGCTTAAGCAGGCATTTAGTCCACTGAGCTATCTTACCAGCCCTGAGCTAGGCGCTTTAATGCTACTCATCTGGCCCATTCTAAACAGCAGAGACATTGGTTTCCACAGGACTACACATCTGAGAGCCAGCTTGGAAACTCTTCTCCTTGTCCCAGGCTGCCCTGGATGAAGGTGTTCACTGTCAGGAAGGACATGTGAGGGCGAATCTTCTAGAGAGCTTTCTTTTTGCTAATCTTAGATTCTGGTGATTTTCTTGTTTGTTTTTGAAATCAATTGCCACAGCAAATTGTGTACGTATTTACATTAAATGCATATGTACTTTTTCAGAAATGATAAAGGAAAAAGAATCCTTTTTTTTTCTCCATAGTTTTGTTGAGAAACAAATAGCAATGAGACAGTTTCAGATCAAGTTGGTAGGATAGTTTTAATAATTAACACATTGCATACTCTCTTTATAGTGGTTATTTGCTGTACAAGATGCAGACATTATAGCCTATTTACAAACACTATTAGAACACGTCCCTCTATTCATTAAGAAAATGTAACTATATATCTATCCTAACCATTTTGAATACACAGATACAAAATGGACATTCATCTGTATCCCCTTTTTTGTTTAGTTCCATCATTTGA